CTCCTCGCCCCTTTGAGGTGTCCTCGCCTCAGCCTCCTCGCCCTCGCCCCTCTGAGGTGTCCTCGCCTCAGCCTCGTCACCCCTCTGAGCCCTGCCGTGAGGGGAAAGCCCCAACCCACACGTAGCCCCGTGGCTGCCTTGCTAGGCCAGGCTGAGGAGAGCATCCAGACGTTCAGAAGCAGGGGCTGGGCCACCAGCACGAGGCGGGCGGATGGGGGACACCCAGGCGTTCAGCCAAAGGCCCGGCCAGACACGGCCCGGAGAGGTGTTAGGGTCTAACACTGGGAAAGCGGCCTCTAGGAAATCACGGGACAAAGAAAATCCTCAAATCAAAACGGTTCGGGTTTCGGAGCAGAGGGACGGGCTTCTCTTCTTCGGGCGGACCGTGGCCCGCGTCCCTGCTTCTCGGGGGCGCACGAAAAGGAGCCGGTTTCCTGCCGAAGTGGCGCGGCGTTGTCATGAAAAATGAAACAGCCGCCCCGGTCTGCAAGAGAGTCCCCGTTCGCTTCAGAGGTAGGTACAGAAACTTTTCCACATCCATTACCCGTACTGTTCGTCAGCATTGGCAATCCTACAGCGTTGAGGATTGCTTTATCGGCGGGTCTGAAGAGGGCCAACAAGGCCAATCCGGGATCAATAAGTTATGTTGCACCTCGGGGTAGGACGGCCATCATAGAGGACAGTCCAGTTGTCTCTACTGATATGAAACCGGACGCCTTTACGTCCTCTATTTTTCTCTTGAAAAAAATCAATAGCTCTTGAAGAGAAAAATAGAGGACATAAAGGCGTTGGGTTTCGTATCAGTAGAAAACAAAATAGCAGAAAACTGAGATGTCCTCTATGATGGCCAACCTACCTTGGGGGGGCATGTTTCTGTGCCCGGGGGATGGATCTGATTTCAAAGATATTAGGGTCAGAAGGGACTTCAGTAGATCATCGAGTCTGACCCCCTGGTGTGGGCAGGGAAGTGTGCTGGGGTTGGATGGCCCCAGCCAGGTGCTTGTCCCGTCTCCTCCTGAAGACCTCCAAGGTAGGGGAGAGCACTGCCTCCCTTGGAAGACCACGTTTTTGCTACTCCTGCTGTCATTGTAAGGTTTCAAAGTACTTATGTCTCTATATCACATATGTCTATGATGTTACATGCGCTTGTGCACATTTACTGTACTTTATGAGGTCTTTCATTATACACGTGCCTTCAAGCAGTCTGAGGCTCTGTGCTGCAGTTGAACCAATGGTCTAGCCCTGCTTCGTCATTAGTTCCTTGGAACATCTGACTCTGATACGGAGGCGGTTGAGACATCACCACCTTTGCCATGGTTCGTGAGCCCCTGGTGGTAAGGACTCTGCTGCTGGAACATCTATTTTTCAGCTGTCAGGTATTTTCTTCAGCATCTCATTCCCCATCAGTAGTCATGTCTCCTTGGGTGCTGATAAGGAAGCTCCTGCATGATTTCAAACGTTTGTGTGCAGCTTCGAAGCACTGAGATCCTTGCAGCAGACTCTTCATTTGGGGCTGTCCTGGGTGATAATCTGCCACAAGTTAATGTCGATATTACTTTTTTCAAGTTGGCCTTGAGGATGTCCTTGAAGCACTCTTTGCCCTCCCTTCTTCAGCATATGCCTCGACTGAGCTGGGGAAAATAAAACTTGCTTCGGGAGTCTGGAGTCGGACGCCCAGCTATTGTGGCCAGTTTAGCGAAGGTGATGTCAGATGATCATCGCCTCAATGCTCAGGGTGTTCGCTTGCGAGAGGATGCTGATGTTGGCACATCTGTCTTCCCACTGGATTCGAAGGATCTTTCATAGGCAGCGTTGATGGTACTTATCTAGTGACTTGAAGTGTTTCTAGTATGTTGTCCGTGTTCAAAATTGGTGAAGACACTAAATAAATTTTGAGCTTGACCATCAGGACCCTCATGGATAATCCTAATAGTGAATGCCTAGAGCACCACATTGCACTCAAGAACTATATTGACATAGCTGTAATGAGCAAGATGTGGTGAGTGGGAGGTGGGCAACTCAAGATTGAGGAGGCAGCTATACCCTCTTCTGGAAGGATAAACAGGAAGAAAAGTGCCTACTTCACAGAGGTGGTTTTGCTATTAAGAATGAACCCATAAACCAACTCAACAAGTTCCATGTTGGAACTGACTGCCTCATGACTCTGTCTTAAACACACCACTGCCATCAGCACATCTGTCCCAACTCTTGATGCTGCTGCTGAAACCAAGGAGGAATTATATGCCAACCTTCACCATGTCCTTTATGACATTCTGGAGGGAGACAGACTTATTCCACTGAATAATTTCAATTCCAGAGTTGGAAGGGATTACTATTCAAACAGAAGAGTCTAGATAGGGGTAGGCAACCCTTGGCATGCGTACCAAAGCATGGTACACGAAGGCATTTTGCTTGGCATGCGTGCCTTGGGGTGGATGACAGGGAAGGGGGCTAGGACTGTACTGCCACAACAAGGATCAGGCCCCTCCCAGCTCCCCTGCTGCTACTTGGCCCTGGCATGGCAACTTCTTACAAGTTGAGGTTGCGGGTTTTTTTGGCACTGCCCAAAAACATTCCTGACACGGGGTCTAGAGAGAGAACAAAAACTATAGCCATCGCTTTTGGTTAGTGCTTAAAATTTCCCTCCAAGTGCAGATTTATTATTTTATTTGCAATATGGCACAACTGTTTATTTACATTAATATACAAATGATTTTTGTATACATTTCCTTTTTTGAAGGGATTATACAATTCTAACAGTCATGTTTCACAAATGGATAATTGCAATTTGTTAGTGATACCTGTAAAAAATTTCTCACTAAAAGAAAATTAGAACACAATACAATAATAATACCTTAAGGTTACCATGTGGTTAGTCTCTATGGTCTCTGTAATTGTGCCTTTTGATGCGTTCAAAATTGCACTTTCCCCAAAAGGTAACGTTCTACTAGTTTAAAGCTGCAATACTGTTCCTTTTCTTCTGTTTACATAAAGATCAGTTGATGCACTGTAGACAGTGCAAACAAATTGCACAAGAGAATGAAAAGCCTCAGCAACTGGCCTGACAGGTTGCTGAAAGAAAAACTTCCAGTTGAGAGAACTTATTTAAACAAACAGGTAAGAATTAAAAGAGACCTTATATTTTGAGAGCCTCTCTGAACAACTCAATTTCACAACATTTCATACTCAAGAAATCGCTTGTCAAAACAAGAATAAAAGCATTTAATTTTATTTTGCAACTGAAATATGAAAAATGGAATCAATGTACAAAACAGACGTGAATAAAGCAAACATTGAATACTGTCACAAAACTTGTATGTAATATATAGCAGTGGTTAACTCAATCCCAGCACAGCTTAATTAGAGTAACATACCAAAGCAAAAATATCTTATGTCCATTAGACTGGTATATTTGCATGTCTGTAATAAAACGTGTAATTTTAAGCAATTCGTGCTACTTTTGGGGGTTTTTTTACATTAGCATTATTTCAGTACGGGTTAAAATAAAAAGTTATACCACCGAAAATGGACAAAGTTTAATGTTAGCCTCACCGCATAATAACTGCAGCTTACATTAAGAGTAAAGATCAAACTTGTAAATGTTGCAATATCTCTTGGCTAGAGTTCTTGATAATCTCAGGATGAAACGCAAGTATAGATTACCATTTTTATCTACACAAATATTTCAAGAGTGAATGAGAACTAAAAGTAAAAGCTGTACAGTACTTAACAGGTAATGTTCCCTTTCTCTTCACAGTGATCCTTTCACAGCTACATTTTGGGTCCTAGTCAGAGTTTAGCCATTTACTGTAATGGAAGCAGGATAAGCGTGATCCAACTAATCACTGAAGTCAGTGGGAATCTTTCCAGTGACTTCAATGAGTATCAGTCAGGCTCTTAAATGAGATTTAGTTACATTGCATAGAGGGTAAATGACTTGTACTTTGTACATACATAAACCACACAGTATACAGCTTCCGGCTACGCGCAAATCAAAAGAATTCCAGTGATAACAGGGTAGCCATGACAGCAAAGGTCTCATACTGATGTCATCAGAACCTTGAAGAGCGACATCTTTCCACTTTTGTATTTTATATTTATATTAGTTTGATATTTAATATATTCAAACATTTCACAGGAATTGATTTATGAACACTTTCCACTTTTAATTTTTTGTAGTTTTTTAAAACACTTGCTTTAACAAGATATACCAAAATGCTTACATTTTCATTGTCTGAGTTTCAAAACTAATCAATGTCTAATCAGTTTCACCTATTCAGTTTTGAGTAACTTTATTTTCCTATACTAACATTATGTGGTATTGTATTAGTAGAGAGGCAGGTTTGTTTTCTAAAAAATTCTCCAGTAAAATTTTAATACAATGGAAATATTTTACTGGGAATAATTTTCTTCCTTTCAAAAAGTCTCTTAAGTTTTGGCTTACATTTGACATGACAGTAATGATTTCCATTAAAATCTTGTATGAAAATATTCCTTGTGTTACCATTTTATATATAAACTTGATTGTAAAAGTTTCTTCTGTTTTAAGAAGAAAGCATTAGGGTTTTGAAATGTCTAGTCTCTTGAGGTAATTATAAATCAGCTTGTTGCTATGTGGTTGCTGCAGAGGTTGGATTGCAGCTTCAAAGTGACCAAACCAGCAGAAACCTAAGGTTTGGCCATTATGTGCTACAGTCCTGTTGTGAAAAAACCATAAATAAGTTTGAAGATTTCCCTCATATTCCCTGGAGCATGTAGGTACAGGTACAGCTGAAAAACCAAATTTTTGAAGACTTGCTAGGAATGAAGTCTCTCCAGCCAGAAAATTAGCTGGTAAGGAAGGCTGTCAAATTGAAAAAGTCTCTTGGCACACTGCCATTTTGCTCATTTCACTATACTTAGCAGGAGGCAAACTCCAGAGTAATAATCTTTATAGTGCTGGTCACGGGCAAGGTTCATGACACTTCTACTCTTGGACCAGCTCTATAACACTATAAAGATTAGCATCTGTTAGTTGTGAAATAAAACAAGTATTGTGTATGGAATTCACTTTGTCCTAGAAAACCATAGCTGCTAGTGATCTCTAAAACACAATTATCTTCCACTTTTGCAACCCTTGAAATGTTCCCCATTTTAAGATTAAATTTATAAATACGGTATAACATTTCATATGCAGTTTTAATTTTGTTTTAAATTAAGTTTTAATTTCTTGAAACAAGCCATAATTCTAAACTACTACCTTAATCTTTTAGGCAATAGATTTGCACATATGCACCCTCTACTATCTCTACAGAAAAAAAGAATGAGGAACATGGAGCCACGTTTATACCATTTATATATATAATTTTTTAAGAAAAATAAATTAATTATTGCAAACACTGGGCGTTTATACACATGCTCCAGGAGGTAGGGAGGGGGGCATTTTAATTTAAGTGGCTCTGAGAGTTGCAAATACCAATAGTTAAAGTGTATTAAATAACCCAAGCGCACTTCTTGAAAAGTGTAATTTAAAAGTTAGAAAGGAATGAAGGCAACAATTAAAAATAAAATAAAAAGGTTAACAGGTTCTGGCCATTGCAGTTTAACTGGATGCCCACATGACTCAGGACTCTGGTAAATTAATTTTGTTACCATCTATATTTACATAGCTATACTCCCCCATCTAACACCAACACTGAGTAAATCTTTGTGAACCCAAATGGGGAAGAAAGTTACAAAAATATCATAAATTGTTTACTGCATTTAGGTTGTATGTTAAACTAAGCTAAAAGTATAGGAAACGCTTCCTGGACAGGGTATTTCTTCACACAGAAACAAGGAACCAGGGTAAGACTGCTGTTTAGAATTTATGGAAAAATGTGTGTGTGTGTGTGTGTGTGTGTGTGTGTGTGTGTGTGTACACGTGCGCGCACACGTGCACAATGGCTAGGTAAAGTTGGGTTTATAAAAATATATTAATTATATTCTTACTGTTCCAAAGTATTTCTTAAGTCTACAGACATTTGAAGATGACATCTTTCAACACAATTCCCATTGTTAAACTCTGACAGCAAAATTATATAGTGTTGAATCTCAGATAAGGCCAAGCTTCCTACCTTGTCATCTTACTGGAAAGCCATATATAATTGCTTTTCCATAGTCAGCAAACTCAAATCCTGGCTAAAATTACAAAAGCTGGCTGGAGGCTTGTGTCATTCCTCATCTAAATCTTAAGATTAAGGCCACAAATAACATAACATTCTTTCAAACTTTATTGCTATATTTGTCTTGTATGTGAATCAATGAGTTCCCCCTTTAGTGACATAAAGAAGTGGAGATAATCGGCATAAAAATGTGGCTTGTGAATAAACAGGGTCACCAAAGTCAAGGAAGAAGGGTCTGTAATGTTCAATGATGTCAGTTATACTTAGTGAGAAAACAAATTCCCTTAACGGTTAATAGAACCATCTAAGTCAAACCTCTATATGGCTTAACTGACATTTAGGGGAAAATACAAAGTTGCTGCCTTAAAGAAATTTAAAAGTCCAGATTTCCTAAAATTCAACAAAGCATGGAAGAGATGCTAAAAACACATGTGGTCCTCAGGCTGCATATAATGAGAGCACCTTCCAAGTACATAATCATAACAAAGTTCACTTACATGATGCATCTTTGTCAATCAGAACGCATGACAGCTCAAGCTTTATTTGACAAATGTACTCACAAAGTGCAGTGAAGCTGAATATTCAGTGTTTGGAAAGGCTGTGCGAATGGCTGATGCACCACACAGGTAGGATAAAGGAGCTTGGAACACAGCTCTTCTGTTCTGGTGAAGCATGTTCCATGGGCACACATTTCTAGATAAACTAGGATGCAAAACTGTAAATGTTAAGAAGGGGGTGAAAGACCCTCCGTTTCAAAATGCACATCTTATAAACATCAGAGTTTTGCAGCAGGAGGAAGTATCCTTATTAAATCACTGGGATCCTGCAATCTGCTGAATATTCTCAATTCAGTTATTTCAGTAGGATTGTGCAGCAGTCAGCAATGGCCCAACTCTTTAACCGTTAACACTGATCACTTCAGAAAATTCCATACAAAAGGTTTCATGGTCATTCTTAAAGTAAACAAGAATGGTCTAAAATAGATTCTAATAAATTCCAGTTGTTTCTTTAACCAGTTTAGCAGAAACCTCTCTTACATGGAATTCCAGTTTAAACAGTATTGTTCTAAGCAGAAGCCAAGTAATGAGAACCTATTTTCAACGCTTTAAAAACAGACCATGCATTTGAAAATCAATAGATCATATTTGGACTGTACATCCACTTGAGTGGATCTTGACCTGCAATGATATATTGGTCCAGTTCTTTAGGTCTTAAAGCACCTGCATTTTGATCAGCGGGAGTAGAAGGAGCTCAGCTGCTCAAAGATTCAGGCTTTGCAAACATATGTCTGTGTATGCAAATGTTCAAGAATACTTTCAAAGCTCCCCAGTTCACCAAATGAGTAACAAGTGTTACATCCTGACAAAATTCTTAAGGGAGCTTCAGGGAGACAGCATATGAAGGACTAAGCAAGCAATCAGGCATCAATATTTATTAACACAAGACAAAGGAAACACAATCAATGCGTTAATGGAACACTGTCCAGCCAGATGTTAAATTTAAAAATGTATATCTAATCTAATTTCAAATAAATAAAAAACTTTATACATAATTACATAATGCTGTAGTCTGAATTTGACAATGGTAAATAGATTGACAATAATTAAAAAAAATTATATTTAGGGCTAAAATTCTAATCCTGTTTTTACAACCTTATCTCCAGGACAGTTAGGATGACCCATCTTTATTACAGTTATCTAAACCAGAAATGCAGTGCAAGTGTTAGCAGAATACAGAATTTAGAGTATAGTAATTTTATGCCACAAACTTTGCTAGGGGAGTAGTTGTCCATTTTGGGGAAAAACTTCTTGTTCAAGCTGTAAAAATGTAACTGGCTCTCAGAATTCACTGCAACTCTTAACTCAGATTCATGGCATGGACTACAACAGGAAGTTGTTTAATTGGCTTCTGCAATTAGATGAGCTTTAAAAAAAGTGACACCAGAGTAGAGAGCTAAACATACATTTGAACACATCTGCTCTCTTTGGACTCATTTCTTGATCCAATGTTGATAGGAAAAAACAGTTCTGAACAGGAATAGCTAATGCCAGTGCCTTTGGTGGCTCAGCCAGGTTTTTGAAGCTTGAGGGTGTGTTTGTATAGACCAATGCTATGCCAGGCAAACATGCATTAAATGTTCATTCACATAGGAAAGAATTCCCTATCATAGCAAGGAAATGCTTTATGGTGAATTGTTTCTCTCTTTTAATGCTCTCCAAAAATTAACCAAATGAATCATTAATCAGTTTGGAAGGGCATCACTTTATTCCCAACCTCAAGGAGGCCATTAGTGAATATTTCTGAGCACTTAGTGCTGTACAACTAGTTACCTCACAGGGATGTTGTAAGGATTAGATAATATTCTCACCTACAGATGAGGAAACAAAGGCAGTGAAATTATTTGACAAAGGCCACACAGCAAGTCAGTGGCAGCAGAGGTACGGTTAGAATGCAGGACTTCCTCTTGGAAACACTGCTTTATGCTGAACAGGCTCAGAAGCATCCAACATTATCAAAGGTGACCATCTTCTTTCTATATGCTACTGAATTGTAAACACAATTGGAGCATTACGGGCAATGGTGGGGGCAAAGACCATAACTGACAATTCTAATACATGACTTCCTAGTTACAGTAATCTATTGAGCCAGAATACAATCACATGCTAAACTCAGAAGACTTAATTACAAAAAAAGGAGAGCGAGAGAAAAAACCCAACAAAACAGCGAAATCATGGAATTTTTCAGCACTCAAAAGAGAACTTCACACTGAAAAATTCCAAAATGTGGTAGAGTCCACCTTCAATAGTTTAAGATTTCAACCTGTCAAAACAAGTCATTTAAAAAGTTACATGACTAGGATATTAACAAGTTAAACAGCTTCTCAGCATTGTTTCTTAAATGTAGAACAAACTACACAAGGCTGCATTGCAAGTCATGCTTGCTATGCGAGAGAAAGTGATGTGTGAAGAAGAGATTTTCTGTCAAATGGAGCTGTAGTACTTGAGCAAGTTTTATATGCTGTTACGTAAAGGAGCTACACTAGCATTAATTCTGTATCATCAGCAGATAGAAGTGTCAATTTCTTCACTTTTCCAGGCAGTTAGTTAAAATCAGATTTATATGGAGGCTTCACACACTCTTAACGTCTATATAGCAGCATGACATTGTGGAAATACCAATGTTTTAATATATCCATGAAGATCTCCTGTTAAGTGTCTAGACTTTGAAATATTAACTCTTCAGAAATGTAAATTTGTAGCTCCAGTGTTTGCAAAGAACTCTCCTTTCTCCCTGATGAAAGACTTGCCTTAGTATTTGAAGATATACGAAGATACAAAAAACTTAATCCGACATTTTTAAACATATATTTGGAGTTTTTTATCTTAATTTCAGACCTCCAGTAAACTGTTAGCGTGTATCAGTTTTTCAACGATAAAACTGGAATTTGTTTACAGATGGCTGTCAAAGCTGCACTTAATAAATCTACTGTTATAGTTAAGGATTTATCCATGTTGACATGATAAACCTTTAAAAGTTGCCTGAAAACATTGTGTACTTATTAAAATGGAGGTAAATAATGCTATTAAAATATCCTTATTAAATATGTACATAACAGACCACAATTGGTCCAAAAGAGCAATTACAGTATCTGGTATCTCATGTACTTCCAAACCCTTTTGTCCCTTCATAAATGGAGGGGGCAGAGGGAGGAGCAAAAAAACAGGGACTTTAAATATATTCAAAGGCTGTTAAAGATTAGACAAAAGAAACAACTCTGAGTTGAAGCTGACCCTTGTCATCTCCTTAGCCCCATGCACCAAGGACTGCAAAGAGTTTGCGAACAGCCAGCGTTCCTATACGCTTCGAGGCTTCTGCTTTTCGGTGTTTACGCAGGCCGGAAATTGACCAACTATTTTGGATGCTGTAATGACTTTACTATAGATATTTCACCATATATTCAAGGCAACTGCTTTCTCTGCCCTCTGTTGTTCCTCTTATTTAAAAAAACAAACAAACAACCACCAACCAAAAACACAAAAAACTCCACTCTGCTGATTTTAGTTGATATCCATACCAGAAACATAAATTCATTTTGGTGAATGCCTTAAGGAATGGTATTTCTTGGTATTTCCAGTTTAAACAAAGTTTTCTGTACGAATTGCATTTGCTGCTATACCTGCATGCACACAATGGAATAGATTAAAGATAGGTTCACTCCCAACAGTGAATTCACCTGTGTGTCAATTTGTGTCATTATCTTAGATTTTTGTTGTGCTTTTAACACAAAACTCTAGAATGGCTAGAAGCAGAGATGGTCACCAGCTTCTGTTAAGCACTGTGGAGTTTCACTGTAATGGTTTTTACAATTTAAATACTTCAGCCTCTTTTAGAAAGGTGAGCCTTAAAATCATAGTTTTCTATATGCAATGACACATTCTGGCCAGAAATAACAAACAGACTACATACTGAATTAAGAAAACTTGCATAAGATCTGCATTTCTCATGTTAGTTGCCTGACCAAATGTAATTAGAGTAAGGACTTAAAAAAAGTACAGTCCTTCAATGCCTCTACTTCAAATGCCATCGTTACCCAAGCTGATTTTAAGTGAATTGTGTATATTCATATTTACATATTTAAAATATATGTAAAATTATTTTAAATTCAAGAAATATCTATATGAATAAGTAATTCGTAGATTCAGTGAGTCATTGATTTGGTCATGGCACAATTTTAAATAAGCAGTGTGATCCCATGGAATGAACACCTACAGTACATTGCAAAGTATGTTATATACTGGGGAACTGCAGGACTCTGATGACCCATTTCTTAATAGTTTATTATCTAACTAAATAAACCTCCCCTTATATAATCCTAAAACAGTATTAGATAAAAATACAAATATGTACAACAAATGAAAAAAGTAACACTACTGTAAAGGCCTTAGGAATTTTGTAGCTCACGCCTGTCAACTTTGCATTGTCTGTAAAGCTAATAATGTTCAGTAAACTGTTACAAACATTTTCCATTGGCTACCATATTTCCTCTTGTTGATGCAATCATAATCCCACAGGATGAGATGAAGGAAATAGGGTAGTAAACTCAATCAAGTATTAGTACTTTTTCACCAGCTTAATTTCTACAGACACCACTGGCCATTCTGGTGGCCCTGTGAAGTTTGTGAACATTTCCCTCCACCCCCAGGCTACATGTTGTAAGCCACATAGATGGGGTCTAACTGATCAGCCAGGAAACTGTCACGGAGATGCATCCGTTGCTTCTCTCCTCTGGAATTGATAGGAATCACTCCTGGATCCACCACCACCACCACTCCCACAATTAGATAATGTTCTTCCAGAACCACATTGGTAACCAGAGGGACTAAATCCAGGGCTTCCTGTTCACAGCCACACAGCTCCACAACTACCACAAGCAAGTTGGTCCATGTGAATACAGCACTGAAAGTTAATAAAAGAAATATTTAATACATAATTATTTTAATTAGTATGAAGCTACAAATCTAACTGCCCTTTTCCAGCCTTTGCTATTTGTTCAGGTCTTTCAGTATTTTCCTGATCCATAAATTTCTTCCATCTATTACACTTTCACTATTATAAGACCCTTACACGCCCTTTCCTAGCAGGCAGGTAAAGCACAATGTGTGCATAATATGTTTTGAGTTGTCTGTCTAAAGGCAGTATCCTAACAAGAAAATGGTAGGAGGGAAGGGAGGGAGGGTGTTAAGGAGCTGCATCAGACACATTTTAAAACACAGGTTTCCCCTCAATTTATGCTGTACATGTGTTCCCAGAGAACAGTGCATAAATCTAATTCGCAAAAAGCAAACCCACTTTACAATGTAACAAAACAGGGATAAGTTGCCATGGTGGTGAGGGAGGGAGTGAGGCTGGGTCTAGGGAAGGGGTGCCGCTCCCGCGGCTGCACAAGACAGCAAAGCAGAGGGAACAGTCTAGAGTGGCAGTCACCCCAGCCCAGGCTGCAGCGGCCCCAGGAGTGGCCGACGCCAGCTGCCTGCAGCCGCTGGGCTACACCATGCTCCACCTGTCTCCACTCACCTCTACTCCTGGGCTGCGCCATGCCCTGGTGTAGGCAGCTAGTGTCGCCTGCTCCCAGGGCCACTGCAGCCAGGGCTGGGGTGAATACTGCGCCCCACGCTGCCTGTGGCTCCGCTTGTCCGCACTTATCCCAGCCCATGCTGGAGTGGCCCCAGGAGCAGCCAACACCAGCTGCCTGCACCATGGCACGGCACAGCCCAGGAGCTGGGGTGAGCCCAGGTACGGGGGGACAGGCAGAGCATGGTGCAGCCCAGCAGCCACTCCCAGGACCGCTGCAGCCGGGGCTGGGGTGAATGGGGCCACAGCCCCTTCACCTCCCCCCACAG